CGGGCTTATTAAACATTTCTTACCCACTCGCTGGATCCAAACTCCAGAAGTGGGGTGTTGGTAGATGGCATGATAACCTTCACTCAACACAAAGTAAGTGTCTAGCCACAAAGAAAGTGCATAATGAGATGTCTCTTTCTAGAAGGGCCAAAGACAAAGCCATTTCGGTGATGTTTATTCAAGTAATTGCTTTAAATATACAGTTAACCATGTCCCAGCATCTACAAACCAGCATACCTGGTGGGCAAGTGAAGAAAAAGTTGCCTCTTAGGTTGAGTCTAAAGGAAGCTTGACAAACAGTTGTGGCTTTTTTGCCCTTGAAATTGACAATTTGTCTTAGTGGCAAGAGAAGAGAGCCCTGCTGTCCTAAACCAGCCATTGGGGAACAGCCTCGAAGGGAGCTGGGAGGACACATAAAAGGCACCGCTGCAAATCGGACAAGTTAAGGGTTCTAAATATTGCTATTTGCTGTTCTTTCTTGTTGCACAAATGCATTGCATTTCAGAGACTGTGATTCGCTGGGCCGCCAGGAGCATTGTGTGGGGCTGCACCTTTAATAGGTATCACCTGCCTGGGGGCAACGTGTGAGTCCTGCTTTTCCCCAGGACAGGAAACCGATCTTCAGATCCTGACACTGTGCAGCAATAAAAGGGCACTGAAACGAGTTGAGGGTTTGCAGTAATACCAAGCCCAATACACTTATCCGACTTGCCTCCCTTTTTATCAGAATCAAAGATATTCTGAGGCGGGTTAGTATGTCTGGGCCAATACAGCCCCAAAACGTATGGATGCAGAAATTATTTTTATGAGGATCATGATTCCGATCCAGTTGTGTTATTTGCATACTGTTTTTCTGCAAAAGCTGGGCAGGGCATTTTGTATAGGAGACAGTGTTATGAAAGATGGGAAGTGCAGAGGTAAGGCCTTTAACCCCATAAAGAAGCAGCTTGGCATCGGTTAACCACCAGCAGGAGTCCAGGCACAATGTTAGGCACCTGATGCTGCTCCGTACCAGGCAGTCTTGTCAATCAGTGGACAGAGCCAAGGAGCTCACTGCCCTCATGGAGCTTGCATTCATTCCAGCACCAGCTAGAGACCTTTAGCTCTGGGGTCCAAGCTGCTGGATTGTCAGTACAGCCGGCCCTCCAATAACGGTGTTTTGTTATAATGTTGATGAGGTGCAGTAGAAACATAGCTCTTGGGTGTATCAATTAGCCCATCCTGTAAATTGGTTTTGTTATATGGTATGTCATTCGCATTACAGCCGCAGAATCTATTGAGGATGTGAAGTGAGGACTTATTGCACACCAGGGAAGTTCATGGCAGCCTTGTCCAGAAGGAGATTAACAACTAAAGAGAGGAAGGAAGAGGGAGGGAGGAGGGAAGGACAGGAGGGGGAAGGAAAAAGTGGGGAAGGGGGGATTGAGGAGAAGAAGGAAGAAAGAGAAAGGACATGCTCATTAGTGATGATGACTAACCAGAGACCAGCAGGCCACTGGGCCAGTCCTCGATTGGCAACAGGAGAGAGAGAGCTGAGCTCGTCCATCGGGGAGCCTCACACACTTTCTCCAGGAGGCTTTTGCTCCAATGCATGAGCTATGGAACCACCTTATTTTACCTAAGGGGACCTGGGCCCCCAGGAAAGCAATATTTACACCAGGAGCTGATGTGCGGTCTTCCCTGTGTTCCTCTAACAAAAGTAGAACCCTCGCATCTGGCCTGTGTAGAGAAGCCCAAAGAGCCTTGTGTTAAGGCCCATCAGTACCTTATCCTGCACCGGGAAGGCCATTTTCTCTCTGTGGGAAGCGGGGTGCAGGTGGAACCCTGGCTCTGCACTTTTAGCAGCCTGTGCCCCCCTCGCTCTGCTGCCCAGCTTCTGTTTCATGTTATCTCCCAACATCTAAATCCTGCAAGAATTACTGTAAAACCTGCTTGTCGCTGAGAGGGATCTTGCCTCGCTCGCTCGGCACTGCAGCCGGCGATAATGAATGGGTCAGCATAATTACCGTGTTTTCTCACACTGGCAGCCAGCTGCTCTGCCAGATTGTGAATCTTTCATTTTCTTTATTTCAAAATGCGGGGCGTTCCTATGAAAACTTAATGTTTGAACTGTGGGGAGATGGAGTTGGAGTCAAAGCCCTGCTCCCTCATTTTCTCCCCAGTCCTGAAGCAAACACCTCGTATCTAATGAGTTCTGGGCTTTTATGATATTAGGATTTACCGCTTTCCCCGTTAAGACCAACACCTCTCTACAATTATTTAAAACCAGCGCCAGGAGCCGTGGGTGCTAGGGGCTGGCAGGCTGAGAGTTAAGTACAGCAGCAGGATTTGTTTTGAATAATAAACAGGGTGCAGCCCAGCCGTGTGGCTCAGTGGTTGAACGTCGACCTATGAACTAGGAGGTCATGTTTGGATTCCTAGTCAGGGCACATGACCGGGTTGTGGGCTCCATCCCCAGTGTGGGGCGTGCAGGAGGCAGCCGATCAATGATTCTCTCTCATCATTGATGTTTCTATCTCTCCTCCTCCCTTCCTCTCTGAAATCAATTAAAAATATATTTTAAAACAGTTACAAATAACTAGTATGGTCTCAGACACAAATAGAAAGATGAATCATTCTGACGTGGTGCAGCCATCCTAGCATTTTACCATCCTCGTGAAAGATATGGTACAATCCAGGAAACAGGCCTGCTGCTCACTCACCCTTCAGGAACACACACAGAATTCCAAATGACAGCCAGTCAGTCTTCATCTCAGGTTCAAGGATCAGAGTCCAATCCATGCAGGTCCATGAGGTGGTATGGAATTGGGAGTGACTTCTGTGGGAGCCCTCTCCTCTCCCTACCCCCTGCCACCCACCATGCAGCTACAAACTTACTGTCCGAGGGCAGGGAGCAATGGGATGAGATGGGGTGGAGTGCATGTAGGAGTAAGTGTGACAGTCAGAAGAGGAAAGCCCCTGTTGGCAGTTTGGACATAGGGTAGAGACCACTTTAGCACAACAGGAAATACAACATCCCGGGAGCAGTTAGGTGTTTCATAAAATAGAGTTCCAGGAAGAGTGAAGTGTGGGTGTGTTGAGTTAAGGAAGTAAAAGAGCTTCCTTTGCCAGAGTCCTTTCCTGGCGTTGAAGTCATGCCAAAAGGGACTCTGTGTCCTTCCCGGCATGGCATGTCATCACACTGTGAAACCCCAGGGATATGGAGCAGGGATGGCAGGCTGTGGAAGGGAGGAAACCCATCACACCCTGGCTCATCTCACGTGACTTCCTCTCTCTGGAACTCCTCTGAGCTCCTGTTAGGTCAGTGGGATCAGAGGAGAAAATGGGCCAGGAGAGAGGGTTTGCTGGATGGTTGCCCACCCCTTGGCCTGACCACGACTTCATTCACCTGGTCAGGTAGTGACGTCATCCACCTTCCTTCCGGTACCCAGTATTTAGACCCTGCTGTGGATAAAATCGGGGGGCTCCTGTTGTGTGACTTGGGGAGGCAGGAGGAGATGCAAAGATGAAAGAGCCATGGAGGAAGGCCTGCAGGAGCGTGCAGACTAATAGGAGAGAGAAGCATAGCAAGTGACTGGCTTTCCTCTTCTCAAACGCATTACAGAGATTAAGAATGCCCGGGAAAACGGAGTGTGGGTGCGGGGCTCACTGGGTTAGTGTTGCCTTCACTGTAGGACTTCCTGAGCCTCCGATATAGGTCTCCCGAGACAGCGGTTCCCCACATGTATTTTCCCAGAAAAGCACCCTCTCCGTGCCTTGGGGTTTGGGCAGCATTGCCTGCTGTTTAATGGGATGGGACAGCAGGCCTGGTGAGAGCTCCCGGGGAATCGGGGAAGTGGCAGGAGCTGGAAGGCAACGCCGTTTCCTGGAGGCCTCCTGGGTTAGGATTTGCATGCTGTGGGAGGAAGGCCTCCCAGGCAACAGAATTAATTACCAGGGGTCTCAAGCATCACGCTTAATTTCCCTCTTGACTCCTCAGCAAGTTATCCTGCTCAGAGGATTCCCCCCCAGGGAAGAAAACCCTGCCCACACTCTCTTCTTAGGAGTTGAGTTCCCAGACTTCTCTGTCATTACTGTTACTGTGTTTTATAAGCTGCACAAATGGTTAGGGGGCTGATGGGACGTTGGGAATGATTCGTTTCTATGTACACGCATGATGCATACACATGTCTGGAGGAGCACTGTATTTCAATTAACATTTTTTTAAAAAAAGCAATATATGCACATAAAGGAAAATATGAGAAATAATTAAAAATGGGATGGGGAAAAGCTATGAACAGACAACTAACACCCATACAGTTCATCCTCAGAGATAAGTATGAACACATTGAAATGTATGTATTTACAAATATTATATACATACAAATATGAATACACATATATACATTCATGTACACATATGCACATACTCCTGCATACACACACACATACTGTGTTTGCACACAATGCATGTACATATTCACTTACATATGCACAGATACATATCCATGCACATGCATACATACATGTATATTGTGTGCTCAGACACATATAAATATATATTACACACTAGACATATGTGTGTATATGTATATATGTTTATGGATGGATGGATTGATAGATGGATGGGTGGAATGATCAATGGATGGATAATGTCGAGAACACATTGCACATACATATTGCAATCCACCTTAAAAAATTGTGCAATGAGCTTTAATCCTGTATTTAAGAATTCTTTGTCAATGTTTTCATTTGGCACATTGTCTTAGGCACTGTGACCACCGTCTTAACTAGCCCATCCTCTCTGGAATTGGCCCTTGGCCCTTGACCCCTGCCCAGCTGCCACCTTTAGACCCCTGGCTCCTGGAAGTGTGTGTGTGTGTGTGTGTGTGTGTGTGGTGGTCGGGAGGGGGCAGGTGCCCAGCCTTGCTCTGCAGGAAGGAAGGTCTGGATGGGAGGTTCCCGCAATGGTTGGTGTGGATCTGAAAGCCTTTGCCTTGCTCTCTCCTCTCGCCCTGCAGTGCCCGGCTTTCCGTATCCAGCCGCCACCGCCGCGGCCGCCTACCGAGTAACACCTTTCGGGCCGCGGCGCCCCCGCCCCCCATCCCTGCCTACGGAGGGTAAGTGGGCTGCCTCCGGGGCGGGCCTCCCTGCACCGCCTCTCCTGTTTGCGCATGCTGGTCTTGACCGCCCCACCAGAACGCCCAGCATGCAGCCCGGCGCCTGCAGTGGAGCACCTTGCAAAGAGTATTGAAAAATGAGTGTAATTTGTCCTGTCATGGTTGGTGCCTTTAAGCATCCTACATGTCACATGTTGTTATGTAAATTCTCTTTGAGACTGAATGCTGGAGAACAGAGAAATGGTTACAGCCAGAGATGTATTTCTGATGATTGCAAACATCTGGTTATTAAGGAGGTTGGATCACATTGGCCCCTTGAATCTGTCCATGGAGGGACATGAGGCTTTTCACACATAAAAATTACTGGCGTGGTATTGCTCCCCTTCCCTAAGATACCTTGAGCTTCAAGGTTTAGGAGACCTTGCTGGGAAGAGAAAATTAGGTGTGGAGTCAATGCAAACATTCACAAGTTCAATGAAATTGGAATTAAGACTCGTTTTAGCTGGATTTTCCAAAATGGCATTTGTCTTTGTTCCCCCTCTGCAAAGAAATGCAAGTTCATGTGACCCTCATTGCCAGTTGGGTATTCCTGTCATGGACTTTGGTATCACCAAGAGACTATCCAGGAATGGTGGTGAACGCTCAGGGAAAAAATGGTACTGGTGTGGCAGGCTTTGACCTTGAGATGCTTCCCTTTTACCTTCCTGTTAAGGGATCCTCCTGGAACATTCCTGCACGCTCAGAGCCGGGGAGAGAGGGATGTCTCTGAGGCAGTGATCCTCAGGGGACATTTGTAATATCTGGAGATGCTCTTTGGTTGTCACAGCAGGAGCTGGGAGATGCAATGGCACCCAGTGGGCGGAGGCCAGGGATGCAGTAAACATCCTACAGTGCACAGCGCGGTCCCTCTCCCCATACAGAGAGTCATGGGGTCCTAACTACCAATCATGCTGCTCTAAGGAAAACTCAGGTATGCCCAGGACAGCCTGGCAGGAGGCTTCCCTGGCCCGTGCCTGGCTTTCTTGTCTATAGAAAGAACATGGCTGTATTCAGGACTATGTGAAAAGGGTTAAACACATTTTTTATAGCTCTGTTGCTTAGAAATCTTTTAGAAAATTTGAATCAGCCCAGATCATCTATTATACTGACTGAAATATTTATTCATATCTCACCCACTCCAAAGGACAGCATTTGAAGTGTTTTGAAAACAAATGCAGTGAGACAAAGCTAAGACAATAGAGAAATGAAAGCACATGAAATTGTCAGGAAGAGGGGGATAAAGGCAGAGAAATAAGACAAAGTCCATTGTTTCTGTTGTTGTCATTAGAGGTAGGCCAATTCCAAGTTTCTTAGTAGATGAAACACCACCAAAAAAAGAAAAAGAAATTGTGCTGAAAATATGGTGAATAATAAACCAAGGATGAATTGGCCCTAAATTCTCCCCACCCTCCAATATAATGTATCTTCATGTCCTAAGCCTCATGTATTTGACCATGTGATATAAGGCATTACTGACAGTATAATCATTATCTTCAGCCCCCACAGTATTAAGCCTATTTTGTAGATCCAGAAAGGCAGAAGTAAAAACTTGTTATTCCCAAGGTCATATAATGAGTTATGAAGAAAAAAAAACAAAACAAGTTACCCGCTAGGCTCATATGATTACTAAAGCAAGATTCATAAGCCATAAATACAAAATTGCATGTTTATACCCCATTAGTTTGCCTGGAAAACATTATCTTGGTAGCTGGTAATTGTAGCTTTCCGGTATATGTACCCTCAGTATCTCACTACTATATTGAACAGAAAAAAATAAAGTAAAATTATATGGCTTATCCTCACATGAACAATTTATAAAAGTCTCAGAATAACACACCTGCTGTAAAATTGAAATTTGCTAACTTATAATGAACTTGCTCTTTGTGGGGAATAACCATGCATAACTAATTAATGCCATGTTCGCCAGGGAGAGACACAGGCATCTCCAAATGGTGAAGCAATGTGTTTGTGACTGCTTTGGACATGATTTAATTTTAATATCCCAGTGATAGCTCTAATTATTTTGTTTATAATGGTGGATTGTGCCTCTTTGCTGACAATGTTGACTGGAATTCTGAACCCGTGTTTAGTAGTAAGGTAAAATTCTTAAGATGGGAGGGATAGAAAGAGCAGAAGGGCTAGGTGTGTGTGTGTGTGTGTGTGTGTGTGTGTGTGTGTGTCCATGCCTGCAACTTCCATAAGAGCAAAGTGCTGGTGTAAAAGGAGGACATTCAGCCAGTTGCCTGGTGTTTTGCTGGATTACAAATTGGCTGGACAAATTAGCTGTGAATGCAAAGGCATGAACCCAGCATCTTAAATGGTGGCTTCCCTTTTCCTCTGGCTTGTTCGGCTTAAGCTATAGAAGACATCAGAGGGCAGCTCACCTTAGAGAGAAGAGTAGAGATCGGCTGGAGGAGAGAGGGCCCTGATCTTGGGTTGAGTGGCGAAGAGGTTGGAAACCCACTACTGTTTCAGGAAGTGACATTGTCGGGATTCAGGTGGTCCAGGAGATAGTGTGCATCTCCTGTAGCTGTTTGCCTCCTTTGGAGGATGAATTCTAGATTTGACTGATGTCTTTGCTAATGTCCAGTTTAGCTCAACACTCCTTTTCTCAGCTGCATGCACTGCCTTGCACTGAGGCCACTGAGGCAAATGGCTCCCTTGGAGGAATTTCTTCCGGTGGGGGGCAAAGGGTGCCATGTAAGTGAACAATTTCAGTAAATGTGGTAAGTAGTAAGGTAGGGTGTTGTGTGAGCACCAAGGAAGGACTTTGATGTTTAGAGAAGCTTCTAAACACCCAAGTGCTAGGAAGAGAAGAGATAGAGGTCACATTTATGGCCGATCATTTCCTAAATGTCCACGTTAAGGTCTCAGTCTATGATTCTCCCTCACACCCAGTGACCCCCATCTTTTCTAAGATGTTGGCTAGCAAACTGCATTTATTAAGAAAAAATTATTTTCCCCTTATCACTAGTTGAAGACTGCCAATCTAAACTCTGTTCTTCATCAAGTATCCAATATGCATATACTTTGTTATTAAAATTCCAACCAAAAATGTGTCATTTATCCAACATCCATGTACAGTTTCCATATTGTTTTTTCCAAGAGATATAAAACGGTCCCACAAAACCTCCATGGCAGCCTTTGTGGAGCCACTGGTGAGCCTTGGAGTATCCAACATTAAGATAGGTATCCAGGAGGGCACACCAAGGAGCCATCCATTTCCTTTTGTTGATTTGGTTCCCCCTCCGCATCCTGACACTTTCTGAAGTCCCTCTCAGCAAGTGAGGAACATAGGTTATGGAGGGGCCCTATTTCTCTTTCTTACATACCTAAATAGAAACATCTTTGGACATTAAAACATGACCAGTCCTTCAGGGTCTGGGGCTACAGAGGCTCTACTTGGACCATGAAGGGATCCTAGAAATGAACGCAAAATCCTGGACTGAGACAGCCAGCCCCCTAGGGATTACCAGAATCCACTGAATGCGAATGAGTGATGAGGTGATGAGTTAGTGTTTACACAGTCTATAAGATTGTTACAGTACTAAAAAATGCTTCTGGGGAAGATGAGATTACCCCCCCCCCACCACAACCATTCTACCTCATACTACCCTGGGTAGCTGACTTAACCTGTATAAGTGAATTGCCTTAACATGAGAGTGAAGATTGTGTCTGCCTCCATTGAGTTGATAGGGGATGGGATAGGAGATCCATGTAAGGCTACAACTTAGTAGGGAGGGTCCATCATATGATTCGAGTTCAGTGAACTATAGCTAATGTTATTGAAGGTGATGCAGTTACTGCTTCTTTGTCCCTCTCTGTGTTGCACCACTTACTCCTTTGCTGGGAGGCACCTGCAGTTCACAGATTGGCATTCCCCACAAGCCACAGAGATGGCTTTGATTTGCAAAGATCACTTCAGTAGTTTGTGGAATATGTAGATTGTACATAAAATATTAACTAGTGAATAGTCTCCACAAGAGCTGAATGAAGCAAGTTTTCCATATTTCCCCTTGCATTTGATCCTGGGGTTAATTTTGCTAGAGAAGCCTTAATGTCAGTCTGTCTTTCTGTGACTTATAGCTGGGAGAAATTACCCTTTGGGTAATTACCATCAGTGGAGCTTGCAGACTGATGGTTTGTGGATGAAGATGGAAGGTAGCCCCCAGACTCAGTACTTGCTCTGATGTTAAATGACACCTACTAAACCCCATTCCCTCCCAAAAGAATCTCATGAGATTGGCTTCACCCCATTCCTGTCCTTAAGTAGTTAAGTAATTACAAACCAGCTACTTATTAAGCACCTACTATGTACCATGCATATTGTATGGGGCTAAAGAAGAGTGCTCTAATGGAGTATCATGGGAGATTTTTAAAATTATTCCAATCCAAGCATCAGCATCTGCTATAGGGTTTTGGCAGTGGTTGGCTGGATATCTGTGAGTGTGATATTCTGCACTTTCTCAGATAATTAATTACGACACATCTATGTGCAACTTCTCAGAGTTAGCTTAAGAAGTATTTTGAGGAGACTCAGTGCTACTCTGGGTATAGGACAAATATGGTAGTATCCCAGGAGAGCCCTTCTGAAAGGTAGCTAGTGCAAGAATCAACCTATATATAGATTTTTTGAGAATGCTTTCGGATTCTAGAATTTAGGTTCTAAAACCTTGGATAACCAGCCTCTAGGACTGTGTATGCACATTTCTGTCTGTAAATCAACCATGCTTTTTGGTTTTCATTTTTAAATGTCTGCTCCTCAGACTATAGTAACTGGTACTTAGGCACTTTCCAATTTAATATAAACACTAGAACTAAAGTCATCACTACCCATTCTCAAATATTTTCCAGGATTCTGTCCAGCTTTTTGTTTTTGGTATCAATTCTTATTCAAATTCTCAGCCAGTTTTGAAGTGTAACCTCTAATATTTTTAAAAATCCTCTTAATTGAGTGCATT